ATGTAGATTCTACGCATAAAGCAATTCCGGAACATTTGGCAAGTAAGATCGATCAAGGGAAAGATAAGAGATTGGAATTGACTAGTGAGGCCAAGGTGAGTGCATACTAGTGATAAGTAGTGTTTAATGGAAATAAGACTTGCGATGAGTCTATTTCCTAGAGTAATATGCATGAAGTCATGGACATGATTATGTGTGGTTATAATTATATGTGATTATCTGTATTACATTGATTGTATGTATGCATGACTAAAGATAATGACATGCTTTGTATATGCTATATGATTTATGTAAGACTTTATTATGTAATAATGGAAGAACATGGAATAAGTTATATGATATGGTATAAGTGATTATACGAGAAATGTTAGGAGACTCTAAGAGAATAGTATGAATTCGAGGGCATAAATAAGGATACATAAGTTATATAGGGAAGATTGATAAATTAAAGGAAACTATGGTTTATGTATTATAGTGAAGAGCTACAAAGTTTTATTAAAGAGTATTGTGGAAGTCATGAGAAATTGAACTAAATAAATATATGGTTTATGTGAGTGGAAAAGGAAAATGATATAAAATAAATGGAAATTATTTATAAGATAGCATGAGACTAATTGAACATGTAATATAAACTTTATAAAGGAGTACCTGGGTAAAATCATTATATGATACAATTATAGAGTATTACTATACAAATCATATTAAAATATGATATATGAGAATATGAGTAAGTTTATAGGATATTGATAGGACATATAAGAATATTTAAATGTATGATGATATGAAAAAGGGAATACAAAGAAATGGAGCATCAGGTAGATAATATGATATCAGTTATTATATATCTATATGATATATGCCATCAGGTAATATGAAAGGACTCTGAAAATTGATATAAGCTATGAGAAGTGTTATAGGTGTTTCTTGTGTTATATGAAGCATATATGATCATATGTGAACAAGATATGATATGTATGTTTATATGAATATCTGAGAAATGAACTAAGCTATATGATATGTTATATGACATGGATCTATGTAACTACACGAGAAAGTATATAAGCTATGTGACATGTAAATGTGACTCATATGAAAAGGTTCTATGAGTAATTGAACTATGTGTTATGTGAAATGATAAGTATAAAAGAAAATGCCCATGTTATGTGTCTTGAGAGGTAGGGGTATAGTTGGCATGCCAAGAGTCTAGGGTTTACCTATGTTCTACGGAATATATGGACAGTTTTACCTATGTCTTTCGAGACATATGGACAGTATACCTATGTTCTAAGGAACATATGGACAGTTTACTAGGTTCTTCGGGACCTATGAACAGTTACCGAGGATCTTTATGACCTCTGGATAGTTACCGAGGATCTTTATGACCTCTGGATAGGTCATTCGGGACATTTATATGAGCTGTGATGACAGCATAGTGGTGCACAACCTCAATAGACTCACATATCTACAGTTCTCACAGGTGTACATGGGCTAATCAAGAGATATAAACAAATATATGTTAGTGATATGATAAATGTATTACAAATGATATGATGTTGTGTGTGTATAGTGTTTGATTGAAAAGGTTAAGCATAAAAGTATGTGATTACATGATAAACTGCTAATGATGATTTATGTATATGTATGTATTTATTGTTAATTAATCTGATATAATTTTACATGATATGAGGAAGTCATGTAATTTGGTATAGCTTGATAGAACAGAACATGCATATATTGATATATGTTATAAAGTGCATTATAAGTTTTTATGCCTCACTAAGTCTTCGACTTAGCGTGTGATTGTTTCACACGTAGGTTTCGAGAAGAGTAAAGAGTAATGCGGAGCAAGACAGGTCAGTTCTCCTTACTAAATGTCAGATCAGAAAATATATGTACTGGTTATAGAGTGTAGTTGGCATGTAGTCTAAAGATATAAATTGTATGAACTATGATATATTTTGTAAAACGTTTTGAATAAGTTAAGTGTTATCAAAGTTTTTAAATTACTCACTATTTTATACGAATAAATGTTTGAAAAGTCAATGTGACACTTCGGACTCGTATCCGGGTCGGATACGGGTTGAGGGTGTTACACGTCGACCCGGATATAAAAAAACCGGGTAATTCTCTAAAACAAAACCCGGCCGGGTCGGGTACCCGGGCTGACATTTCCCGGGTCGGGTCCGGGTCACAAAATCTAGTTTTTCCGGGTACCCGAGTACCCGGTTAGTTTTTATTTTTTTTATTTTTTATATATAATTATATAAAATATAATGAATTATTTATATTATGGATTATTAGATTTTGTATTTCTAACTTTTAAATTTTATGTTCGGATATTAGAGTATGTAATTCGAAGTTTCGAACATTTAAATTTGTGTATATTTTTTTTAAATTAATATTTTGAAAATAAAAAATATAAAAAAACCGGGTACCCGTAACATCCAGGTCGGGACACGGGCCGAGAAATCATCGACCCGAAAGTTCCGAGTACCCAGATTTGCACACCCCTATATATATCTCACTATTTGGGTTAAGATCGAGTGGAGTTGTAAGCGATACATTTTTAATTTTAGAGTAAATTACAAATTTCATTATTGTACTCTACTTTCTCTCATATTTTGGTCACTTAATCACTAAATAGTTAATGGCGTTAATAACGACGTCGTTTAAAAAAAACAAAATTTTCATTAAAACGACGTCGTTTTGTATCTATATAACAACCAATTTCAACGCCGTTTAACTATATAACGATGAGTGACCAAAAAAATCAAATGTATTAAGTCCAGTGAGAAAATTGAAAAGATTTAAAGTACAATGAACGAAATATGAGAAAGAGAAATTTCAGTTACCAAATTTGTCATTTATCCTATAAATATTATCAATGATTTTATTAATCAATTCAACTAATATTATAAATTAAGTTATAATTGAATTATTGACATTATTTTTTCATAATATTTATAAAATTATGAATTTTAGTGTACTTAATTATAATTATATTTAATTTAAGATATGGAGAATTAACGATGGTTTAAACATTATAATCTATATTCAACCTAAATTAAAATTTATTAGAACTTGTTTGTAAAACTACAATAATAATGTATTCTTTGTTTTGTAAAATTATAACTTTTGCCTTTATATCAGTAATATAAAAATAAAAGCAATTTCAAAGTCTTAGAAATTTTTAAGTTTTAATAGAAACCAAAATGTTGGCAACGTTTTTTTAAAAAAAAATTACATAAAGAATTATTTACAAAATAGGGGAAATATATGATGATGAAGCGGAATGATGATTGCAAAGCACTGTTAACCTAATAATAGTGACTCGACACCTCGTTTGAATCGTTAGACACAAGACAATGACTACCCAACGAACTTTGGGATTTCAAAAATTTTAATTCTCTTTTTTTTTTTACAAGAAATGATTAAATGAATGCTATTGTTCCCTTTTCATGAACAATTTTAAAAGCTGTCCAAATTTAATTTCTATATGGAGTCATCATTTTTCAAATAATAAAAAGTTTATTTGTCAATTTTTAAAATTGATTTTATTTTATTTTTTGAAAACGGGTCTTTTTATTTTAACGAAAGAGCCATACAAAGCAAAGACGATAAAGAGAGACCTTATTAAAAAAAATCTCCTTAAACCTAAATGGATGAAAAATAGTGCACTCAATCGACGTCAACAAATACAAACAACGAAAACACATTCGAACAACCTTAGACATGTCTTTGCATCATTCTCCAATAGATCCAGACCACTCTTGTTCGGCTCAGCTTAATTTCGCTCTTTTGAATCGAATACATGCGAGTGTTGTTTAGTGAATTATTAGTATGTTTCTGTTTAGGTATATTATTTTTATTACTCATAATATTATGTTGTTATTAGGTTTCCATTTTGTAGGACCTAGTACTACCCGACAGTAGGAAACGTAGGGCTTAGTCGATATCCTTTAGCTGATATATGTGTCCATTGATCTATAATATATGTCTACTTTGCATGTTATGTTATGTTTTTTTGTTGTATATTGCACTGGCATGTTTAACTCTTGATGACTGCTACAATGTTTATAATATGCATATTGATGTGTTTTTGTATTTTGTTTGGGTTTCTCTTCGAAGGGTAACACCTTCGTCCTGTTTATTCACGAAAAAGGTATCTATACAATATATAATTTTTTTATTGAGTAAAGTGTATTTCAATTAGAAGTAGTTGAAAATGTTTTTTTTGAATTTAGTTTCCAGTTATTCGACTGTTATGTATGAAATAGCTGAATGATGTGATATTTATTTATTGATATATGGTGACATAGAAGACAAAAATATATTTTTTATTTATTTTATATGAATTTTTTCTCTCCATATTCTTCTCTAAAATTAGGATTTTATTTTATTTTGGTCTTTTATCGAAATCATATTTTTTAAACTACTACATACACTAATAAACTCAATTTATCGTCCTCTATCATTATCAATTTACATTTTTATAAAATATCTTTAAAATTCATAAAATTCAATACAATAATAATTTTTTGAGTTAAGTTGAAGTTTGAAGAAAATTATATCGCTAAGAAGTGAGGCTCGTGTGCTATTTTCTATCACCATCATGAGGTTAATGACGACTGGAAAGCTATATACCTAAATTGTTAGAGTAAAAATTGACCTGAAATAAATATATAAAAATAATTTTTATTTGATAAAACATATACCTAACTTAAAAAAACTAGTAGAAAGATGAAGAATTATAACAATTATCCTTAAATTTATAGAAAAAATATTTCGGAGCAGATCAGAAATTTTTCATTTTAAATTCAAATTCGATCTGACCTCACATTCTATAAAATTTAATTTGTTCTAACTCGAATTTAATTCATTTTCTCAAATAATCTTATCAAGTGAGATTAAATCAAGGTGCACATGGAGAGCTTTCAACGTGCGGCATTGTATTTCAGGGCAACTTTATTCACGCCTTAACTTGACATAGTTCCGTCCTAGATATATGGCAGATCTTAGACTCTACTTTCACTTGAAAAGACAAATACCTGTACCACTTTAGCATCCACTTTGTGTAAAGTTGCAGGTGCGGCCTGATCTTGGATATTGTAACTCTGGTCTGCAGCAACAAAAACAAGTTGAAAAATAAATACAGCAAGAGATTGTTCATTTAAGATAGTGACAAGAATCATGAAATCTAAAAGAGGAAATCGGTGAAGAAGAAACAAGGGTTAGGCATACAAGTGGTGCATTGTAAAGGCTGAAGAAATCCCTGTGACTGTGGTGGCTTTGCTCCCATGATGATCTCAGTGTTGAAGTCCAGCAGTTGCTCAAGCTGTTCCAGTTCGTTAGAGGCCAAGTCTCCATATCTTCTCCCTCAAAATGTCTATAAAATACAAAGTTCACGAGTATCAGAAAAAGGTAGACACTATCCACACTTGAACATATACAATTATACATATACACTTATATGTACAGGGAAAGATTTTAAAACTGTGTTTTGTTGATATTACCTCTGTGAAAGCTCAAGGACCTCAACTTTAGCTTTGAGCTTCAAATATTTCTGGTACTTGCTCTGCTTGATCACATATTTAAACAGGTGTTTAACACTGTTAATTTACAAAATAAATAAAGAGCTTAATGCATATATTTAAAGTTTGTTTTCATATGTATTGTCTGAATCATAAATAAATAACCTGAGTGTCCATTTCTGTTTGAGCAGCCTCCCATGCTCCATAGGTGTATCTGTTGTACCTGTCAAGTGTCTTAGCAATGCTGCATATATACAAAAGTCAAAAATGAAATTGTCAGGAATTGAAGTATTAGGATGATAAATTTTACATGTTAAACCTTTTATAATAATGCAAAGATTATAAGTTAAAATTAATATTTATTTTAAAAAAAATTAAAGTCATTAACAACATATATACACTTAATAGTGATTAATGTTTTTAAAAATTATATTTTTTAACCGGTGATTGTGATTGCATTCAAATATAAATTATTTAAATTTATATTTTGATAATGTACAATAAGGAGGGAAGTCATTCGAATTTGCCCAACAATGTAAATATTTTACATTTCTATCGGTAAAACTTGGAAGAATTACAGTTACCAACGTGGAACTGGAAAAATAAAAGCATGCAGTCACGATCAAGATTTTTTTTTTTTGAGAAGTCACGATCAAGATGCAGAAATATATCACAGGGGCCTAGAATTCTAGGATACGTGTCGATCTATCATCGTTCAGAACTTTTGATTGAACCTCACCTTTCTTCTTAGTGTTTAATATGCCCAACACAACGATATTTTATACTATGAATTAAAATATTTGAAAATGTAAAACATGAAAACAATCTGTTACCCTTTCGTATCTGAAATTATCCAACTTATTGTTGGAAATAAAACACTCACACAAACAACTTTTATTGAAACTCAAACAAATATTACAAGAGTACTCTCACTCAAAAACAAGAACTACAACTCACTCTTATAAGACTTTGCTTCTTCACTCACTTAGAAGCTCTTAATTTTCTTGATGCTTAAAACTAAAATGGGAAGGGGTATTTATACTACTCAAGAACAATCCTACACCACACAAATAAACTAATTTAAACCATTACAAATTCAACAAATATCTAACTCTCACCTAACTAAATTGATGTAAGCAATGATATCATTAATTAAATGATGTAAGCAATGACATCTTTAATTAAATGATGTAAGTAATGACATCAATTTAGTTTGGGTTTGGGTTTAGGCTCCCATAATGGATCAAGTTTATGATCCAACACCCTCCCTTAAACTTGATCTCGTGACCCCTAGTAGGTTCCTTAATCTTAAGAAGTCTTCGCTGGTCAGTGGCTTGGTAAAAATATCAGCAACTTGATCTTGTGACTTCACATATTCAACTTCCACATCTTTTCTTGCAACACACTCCCTTATATAGTGGTAGTGAATATCAATGTGCTTGCTTCGATCATGGAATACTGGATTTTTCGCTAAGGCAATGGCTGACTTGTTGTCGACACAAACCTTGGTAGGCTCTTCTTGTATCAAACCAATCTCCTTCAATAGATTTCTAAGCCAAATTGCATGACAAACACATGAGGTAGCAGCAACATATTCCGCTTCACAAGTGGACAATGTGACAATCGGTTGTTTCTTGACATCCATGTGAATGCAATATCTCCCATGAAAAATACGAATCCAGTAGTGCTCCTTCGATTATCTATGTCTCCACCCCAATCACTGTCGCTATATCCAACAAGCTTGTAATCATTAGAAACTGAATAGAACAAGCCAAAGTCAATTGTACCTTTCAGATAGCGAAGAATTCTCTTTGCATCTTTAAAATGGGTGGTTGTTGGGGATTCCATGTAGCGACTAACCAATCCAACTGCGTGAAGAATATCGGGTCTCGTGCAAGTTAGATAGCGTAGACTTCCTACCAAACTTTTGAAGAATGTTGGATCTACACTTTCGCCTTCTTCATGTTTGGTCATCTTGATCTCGTATTCTGCCGGTGTGCTTATTGGCTTACAGTTCTCCATCTTGAACTTCTTCAGTATCTCCTTTGCATAGCTTTCCTGTGAAATGAAAATTCCATCATTTTGTTGCTTAACTTCAATGCCAAGGTAGTACGCCATGAGCCCCATGTCTGTCATCTCGAATTCTTTCATCATCACATCCTTGAATTCATTAAACATGCTTAGGTTGCTTCCAGTGAAGATCAAATCGTCCACGTAGAGGCACACGATCAAAATATCTTCATCTTTGATCTTGATATATAGAGCATGATCGTAGGGACATTTGTTGAAACCATTCTCTTGGAAGTACTTGTCGATTCGGCTATTCCATGCCCTTGGTGCTTGTTTTAGCCCGTAAAGAGCCTTCTTCAACTTCAACACCTTGTCTTCATGCCCTTTGACTTCATAGCTTGATGGTTGCTGAATGTAAAGTTCCTCTTCAAGAACTCCATTTAGGAAGGCGGACTTTACATCCATCTGTTGTATCTTCCACTTGTTTTGAGATGCCAAAGAAATGATTAGTCTGATAGTCTCCAATCGAGCAACAGGAGCAAATACCTCATCATAGTCAATTCCAGCCTTTTGACTATAGCCTTTAGCAACTAGCCTCGCCTTGTGCCTTTCAATCTCTCATTTGGCATTTTGCTTTGTTTTGTACACCCATTTGACACCTATCGCCTTATGTCCCTTGGGAAGTGAGGTAAGTTCCCATGTGTCATTCTTCTCGATGGCCTTGATTTCTTCGTCCATCGCATCTCTCCATTTCTTTTCTTGTACCGCTTCTTGAAAGCTCACTGGTTCACAATCGGCAAACAAATAAAATAATGTAAGATTATCTTGTCGTTCAGTTACCTCATAGAGATCTCTAAGGCTTCTTGTGCGTTACACAACTCTTTCACTTTGACTCCCACTTGACGATGATGAAGGTGATGAGTCTCCTTGAGTGGTTGATGTTGGTGAAGTGGGTGGAGTTGCAAGCTCTTGTTGAGATTCATCTAGTTGCTCTCTCATTGTCTGCTCATCTTCTTCAAACAGAGGAAAGAAATTGAAGTCATCTGTATGAGAGTTAAAATCCATTCTCCTTCTTCGTTGAAGACCACATCTCGACTAATCACAAACTTCTTATTGTCTGGATTGTACAACTTGTAGCCCTTCGAATTAGCATCATAGCCGATGAAGATAAAACTCTCGCTTTTATCATCAAGCTTCGTTCTTTTCTCGTCTGGTACGTGAACATGGGCTATACTTCCAAAGGTTCTCAAGTGGGAAATGCCAGGCTTTCTTCCACTCCATGCCTCTTGCGGTGTCTTTCCCCATACACTTCTTGTTGGAGATCGATTTGACAAGTAGACTGCACACGATACTGCTTCCGCCCAAAATTCTTTGGGTAGTTTCTTGCTTTTGAGCATGCTTCGTGCCATGTCGAGGATTGTTCTATTCTTTCTTTCTGCCACACCATTTTGCTGGGGGATCTAGGAACTGTCATTGGTCGACGAATTCCATTTGCTTCACAGAACTCTTGAAACTCCCTGGAAGTAAATTCTCCACCTCGATCGGATCTCATGGCTTTGATCTTTCTACCGCTTTCTCTCTCCACTGCTGCTTTGAACTTCTTGAAGACTTCAAAAACTTCTGACTTCTGTTTCAAGAAATATACCCAGGTTTTTCTTGAAAAATCATCAATGAAGAGAAGAAAATAGTTATTGTTACCGAGAGAGCTTGGCTTGATCGGTCCACACATCGGTATGGATGAGCTCAAGTGGCTTCTTAGCTCTTGTCTCTGACTCCTTTGGAAAGCTTTTCCTGAATTGTTTCCCGACTAGACACCCTTCACAGAGCTGGTCAGGATGGTTGATGTGAGGTAGTCCTTTCACCATCTCCTTATTAGATAATAGCTCTAGACCTCCAAAATTGAGATGCCCAAATCGAAGATACCAAAGCCATGATGCATCTTTGTAGCAAGCTTTCAGGCACTTTGCAACATCATTTTGTATGTTGATCAAGAACATTCTATTCTTTGACATCGACACTTTAGCAATGAAGTTATTCTTATCATCTTTTATAGAAAGATTATAATTATTTATATGAATATCATAACCTTTCTCTACCATTTGCCCTAAACTTAAAATGTTACTTTTCATATTGGGCACATAGTAGACATTTGAAATAAATTGATGTCTCCCATCTTTCAAACGGATAAGAATGTTACCTCTCCCTTTCACTGCTATTGTGGAATCATCTCCAAACGAAACATTTCCACTTACTGACTCGTCTAGCTCCACAAACATGTCTTTCCTTCCACACATGTGATTGCTTGCACCACTGTCAAGATACCAGGAATTTGCTTGGCCACCATCAGTTTCCTTTCGTGCTAGAAGAAGAGTTTCTTTGCCATCTGTCTTTTCCTCCACGTAATTGGCCTTCTCCTCAATTTTGTTGTTGGGAGCTCTACATTCTGAAGCATAATGCCCAAATTTTTGACAATTATAACATCGAATTTGAGATTTGTCATACTTTGAGTTTGGATTAATTCTTCCACGGCCTCGTGTTGAGCTTTCTCCTTTCTCATAGTTATTGTTGGAATTGTTATTGTTGTAATTCCAGCCTCGTCAACGACCTCGACTTCCACCTCGTCCATGGCCTCTACCTCTTCCTTGGCCACGTTGGTTTCTATCATTGCGTTGGCTCTCATGCATATCCTTGAGTTGCAGCTTGAGGAGTTGCTCAGTAAACTCATGCTTCTTTTTATGCTTCTCTTCGTATGCTTGCAATGATCCTTGGAGCTGTTCGATCTTCATTTCTTCCAAGTCTTTAGTTTCTTCAATCGTCACGACGATGTGCTCAAATTTGGGATCCAACGAACGAAGTATCTTCTCTATTATCCTCACATCGTCTAACTTTTCACCATTTCTTTTTAATTGATTAGAAACATCTACTACTCTTGAGAAATAATCTGAAATAAACTCAGATGCTTTCATGTTTAAGGATTCGAATTCACCTCTTAATGTTTGGAGACGAACCTTCTTCACTTGCTCGGATCCTTTGTAAGAGGTTTGCAGCTTCTCCCACGCTTCCTTGCTAGAGCTTGCACTTGAAATCTTTTCAAAACCATCATCATCTAATGCTTGATAGATGAGGTAGAGAGCCTTCTTGTCTCTCTTTCTTGAATCCTTCAAAGTTGTCTTTTGATCTGGTGTAAGAGTAGCAAAAGCATCATCATCCGCAGGCTCGTTATAGCCTTTCTCTATGATATCCCACACATCTTGTGATCCAAGAAGTGCCTTCATTTTGATACTCCAATTGTCGTAGTTGTTGTTGTTGAGTGTCGGAACTTGGAATGGTGCCATACCATTTGCCATATCTCTCAATATAATGAGATTTTGTAAAATCCGATTGCACGGATGAATCCGGAACGATGAAAAAAAAACTTTGGAGGGACTTGGACAACTCGGTCAAGGGCTTCAACTCGGCTGACTCGGCTCAACTCGGTGAGTCAACTCGATTTTCTGGCAGCAGTCTTCCGGCGGTACGTGGCGGTGCGTTAGAACTCAGATTGAGAAAATTCTGGCGACGTCGTATTCCTCTCGTCGAGACCTTCGATCTTTCCAACTCGCTCTGATACCACTTTGTTGGAAATAAAACACTCACACAAACAACTTTTATTGAAACTCAAACAAATATTACAAGAGTGCTCTCACTCAAAAACAAGAACTACAACTCACTCTTATAAGACTTTGCTTCTTCACTCACTTAGAAGCTCTTAATTTTTCTTGATGCTTAAAACTAAAATGGGAAGGGGTATTTATACTACTCAAGAACAATCCTACACCACACAAATAAACTAATTTAAACCATTACAAATTCAACAAATATCTAACTCTCACCTAACTAAATTGATGTAAGCAATGACATCATTAATTAAATGATGTAAGCAATGACATCAATTTAGTTTGGGTTTGGGTTTAGGCTCCCATAATAGATCAAGTTTATGATCCAACACTTATCACTTATACATATGTATACATAGGAAGTGGACAGTGGTAGCTTTGGTGGATTTTTATGCCTCTAGATCCTTGTTATTGTCTAAAAAGTAAAAACTGGACGTCAAAGTGAAACCCATGACTTTTAAAAGCATGGAAGCTCTCATCTGTTTCTGTTGCAAAACTATGGCTACTCAGGTGGTGTGCCTCTATATATGAAATGGAACTACACAAATGGATAATTAAAGAACAATATCAAGAGGGAAGCAACAATTTCCATTTACAGTTAGTTCTCTATGAAACTAGACATCTTCAACTTGTTAGATAATTTCTATGTTGGACATACATACTTTTCAGACAGAATAAGTAGGTGTAGTGGAAATCACGTTGACTCACTCTATGTAACCTCTAGTTCATTTAACGGTGGAGAACAATTTGGTAATAAAAATTCAGCTAAAAGGCTAGTTTCTTCTGATTGTAATGTTTCCTCTATTGTGAAGAACAATTTGCTACTAGCAAACATTCAAGTTCTTTGATGGAGTCCAGCAGTCCAGAATATGATTCAAAGGGTAGCAAGTTTTTAAAGTGAATTTCTACGGATTCTTCAGTTGGTCCAGTTTCGAGGTCGAAGAAAGCTCCGACAACGAGCTCATATTCTCATGCTTATCACTGCCAAGTTTATGGTTGTAATAAAGATCTTAGCTCATAAAAAGATTACTACAAGAGGAATAAAGTTTGTGAGACTCACTCAAAGACAGCAAAAGTTATTGTCAATGGAACAGATATGAGATTTTGTCAGCAATGTGGATGGCTTTTTTATTTACCTGTCAAATTGATCTGCTTTGCATTATTTCTTGTATTGAATGTAATTCATATCCCTTTTACTTGCCGACGGTGACCGCAGTTGTCGTAAACGGCTAGTAGATGATGGCAGAATTTTTTCTTTTGGTTGAATAATGATCGCAGAAGGAAGTTTGATTTCGGTACACTTTCCGGAAAATCGCATAAGTTACTGCAGTCATATCAAAACCTGTTGGGTTATGTAATTGGGCTGACAATTTGGTGGCGGTGTTAGTATAAAAATTTAAAAATATATATTTTGGGGCCTCTCAGGTTCTGTCAGCAACTTGACTGGAATTCCCTTGGCTTATGCTTTCCATCCCCTATGTAGTTTGGGTTTCTAATATTGATGGATATTTCCGAGGCGGACTGTTGATTTGCTTCAGCTGTCAGCACATGTTCAAAGAGTTGAGCAACAAAGGAGTTTGAAGCCCCGTCCGAATTTGGAGTTGGAGAAAATTGAAGAATAGAATTTTACCTACTTCAGCCACCCCCATCATTCGGTTGCAAAGGGACAAACATAGGAATAAAACCTTTATGGAAACTTCAAGTGGTTCATGTTAATTGGAACAAAATAAATGCATGGTTCTCAATGGACCTTTGTTGCAGGTTGATATTATTTTAGTATCTCTGGGTTAGCACTTGGAACAAAAGAGTGGTCTGCCACTTCAAACTTGGCTTTATGGTTTGCTCAGTGAGCTGCCTGAAAATCCCCACAGGAATCTTATTTAAGAATCACAACCTGGCTTTTTAAGTGCTTTTATTTGGGTGTTTGATACATACATGAAGATATGATCCTTTGAATATAATCAAAAGTGAACAAATCAAACTCATATTCTTATAATAGTTTCAATTTCACTGTGTTTTTATTATACTCCGACATGACATTTAAAATTCATATTAATTCTACCATTTAAAAAAAGATTATTACGAAAGAAATAGACAAATTATGGGTGGTGGGGCAGTCATGAAAGAGGGTTTGAGGTTTGATATTGTGAATGTAAGCCCAATGAGAGTTTCGGACGACAAGGGTTTGGGGTTTAAGATTTATGATGGTGTCAATTTTGGATTTGAGCGAAGGATTTAAATTTTAGTTTTTTCTACTTGTGACACAACTATTAATAAAATAAATTATATTATAATAAAATAATAACAAAATTCAAACTTTAGTGAATAAATTAAAAGTTTTTAAACTTTACGGAGTAAAATTAAGTGATGAAATTTGTAACTTACCCTTATTTAATTCGAATTTGGAATCAAATTGCAGTATTCAACCTTTAAGAGGAAAGGGTGCAAGAAAACATGACAGAACTAAGAACAAATATATAACATTGTTTTTACAGGGTAACTGAGCCCTGTGCAATAGATGTTTTCGCATCTAATCAGGAGAACTCTTGATTGAAATAAAACCAAACAACAAGCACACAACAAAAACCTGAATATTACACAAGCGGCCGCAGAAAGTTTCCGCTGCTTATATTAAAAAGATCCGAAAACAGCATCATTTAGAATCTATGGCTTCCCCAAGAATCAACAAACAATGCTCCCTTTATTGAGATACACAAAGACACAATCTCATTTGCTATCCCCAGGTCCCCCACCGAAGAGGTAGTTCAGAGACGATCCACCTCCAGGCGCTGCATGAACCTTGGTTGAAGGTCGATCCTGCATCCATCGAAAAACAGTTCTAATGACACCACCGAAGGAAAATTTTACAAGCATAATGTAAGTGCTTTGAAGAAGCTTCCAACTAGAGTGGAATGACATCCTCTCTGTACATCCTGTTATTCATTTTCGAAAAAAACTGTTAATGCTACAAAGTTGTCCAGTCATCTAGCAGTAGGTTCGAGGAAGGAGAGGTGGACACTTGGAACAAAACATTAGCTTCAGCTATCTTCTATCAGTAATTGCCGAAAATTTTAAAAATAACAAATCCCAAACAACAATTAACCAATAAATAATAAATAGCTTCCAATCTAATTCCAGGAACTTTGATACACATTACTTAAAGATGCAACCAGCACAGCAATCCCTCACTACTAGTTTATCCTCAATGAAAATCGAGTTTCAAATAAGTATAAATCATATTTTCAAGCCATTTACGGAAGGTACATAACTAGCTCTTTCTTAACTACGCAGACACCTATTCTGCAACCATATCTTTGTCATGTTTCCTATTTTTCAATGAAAGATTGGTGAAAAAACAAATAGAAAATGCCACGAAACAAAATGAAGTAAAACAACTTAAAACACCAAAACGGAAATCTTTGAACTATCATACAAACTTAAGGACTCATACAGAGATCATTAAACGAGTTATACCGTAATGAAATTGCCAGTGTTCTGACCATCAGCACGTAGATAATTGTTTGAGGTACTGTTAATACCAGCAGGAATCTGCTTGGTTACATCTGCTGGCTGAGCAGCAGGAGCAGGTTTCGCGACTGATGGTGTTTCGGTTGAAGCAGCTTGGGAATTTTTTGCGGCAGGTTTTGGAGCTTCTCCACTCCCAAACAGATAACCCAATGAGCTCTGCCCACCACCACTGCTAACTCCACGGCCCATCTTTTCAAACTTACAAGCAAATGAAGTTAAAAGCCTATCATGGAGGGAGGGAGGAAACAAGTAGCATAGTAAGAATCTATAACCCGATTTTAAAAAGTAGAAAGGGGATGGGCGTTGAGGAAGACAGAATGAATACATAAATCAATCACATTATACATCTAAAGGACATTTTAAACAATATTGTTCGGTACAAGCAGAAGAACTAGAAAGGAAGCGAAAAAAGCATATTGAAAGAGTTTCCATTACAAGTCTTGATAAAGAATATTGTCATCGATGTTATTTCTCGAAACCACAGGTTTGAATACATCTTTCATAAAAGAAATCTCTGTTCAAGTCAGACAACGAAACGCCCCAAGGCTTAGCCATAAAGCATAACATCACATATTATAAGGTCACATTAACATTAGTTCATTATACCACTTTGGTTCTTGTTTTAAATTGTATGCTTGCATTTCCATCATTTGACTTGAGTATAGGGTATGTTCTTAACTCATAATCGAGTATTCAATAGCAGAAAATATACCATGGCTACAGTATGTGTATTACAAGAAACCCCACTAATCCAACAAAGTTAAAAACCAAGACATCATTTGCATTTTAGATGCAAGCTAGAAGCAAAAGGCAGAGTTGGCTTTCTGACAAGTCAACAGGAAAAATGTGCCCCGTATTACAAATGTTTGATGAGATGAAAGGAGTCTCATATATTCGATGAAACAAATCAAATAAAACCCAACAAAGAAGCTCATGCACAACTCGATACAATTCAATGTCTGTTCCGTAAACTTCCTAACTTCACTATTGAAGGCCATTTACGTTTCAAGTTTTCAACTACAGAAATCGATACAGACAGATACAGCCTCAAACCAGATACAGTAAATAAAAAGATTATAAATAAAGAAATAAATTACTGAACCCAGTGAAAGAAACACTAAACCTTTAGAAGAAGAACAAAAGGAGATCTGGTGTTAGGGTTCTGAAATTACCTGAATTTTTTTTTTTTTGAGATCAGATCTGGAGGAGGAGAGAAAGTGGAGTCGCTGTGAAGAAAGTGTTTTTCTTATTTTATACACATGAGAACTGAAAACGACTATCCTTGGATAGATAAATAAGTACAGAGATAATATCACTGATGCCCCTCAAACGTTTCTAAATCTTTCAATATGGTATTTATACTTTTTAAATGTTCCAAATCCGTAAACTTTGTTTTGTATTTTGCTTTGTCCTGATCCTAATACCATCAAATGATAATATTACATGACTTTGGTGGATTTTCTTAATATTTAAGTGTCACGTATCATCATATGATTTATCTACTAGTTATGTGATATCACCATTTAACGACCTTATGATCAGAGGATATAGTAGACCACAAAAATACAGTTCAGGGACACATTGAATATTTAAAAAGTAAAGGCATCATATTGGAAGTTTTGACAAAGTTTGTAGGTCATTGTGTCATTATCTCATAAATAAATAACAATTGTTTTGGCTTTATGCATAAATTGCCCTTGAACTATGGCTATATTTATATTTTGACCTTAAACGTCTTTTTGTCAAAAGTGGCCCTTATTCGTTTTTTTAGTGTTAGAAAATGCAGTCCTTCCAATCAATTTATCAATGATATGTAGCATAATTTAATAAAATACTCTATTAATATTTTTTTTGTATTTCAATTGATTGAAAAATTTTCTTCTTTGTTGATTCATAGCGGTATCAATTTTAATATTAATTGTCGATCGTCGATATTTTTTATTGTCCTTTTCTTTTCTTATATCTACATCTTTATTTTTTTATTATCAACAAATCTACATGTATGACACATTTTCATATGCTTTTATGATACATCTTCTTCTACATTTTGACATGTTTTTCGGTCGTTTGGTTGTTTTTTCATTATTTTTTTCTAAGCTTTGATTTGACATCACCACGACTGATCACGATGACACTTATATGATATCTTGTTGATCTTCTTTGCTTTTAACACTCAAATTTAATTTAGATACTCAATTTGCTTTACTAGATAGTTTTCACGTAAGTTTGATTTGTGGTTTAACAGTAGTCTTTCAACAACTTGATCATCTTTTGTGGTTCGTTTGCTGATTTAATCAGATATGTTTGTATCTATCTTTATTCGAGTTACTTTGTTATGTTTTTAATATTTACTTGTATGATCCTTATGTAATATAAATGTGTTAGTTTTTGTTTCAATGATTATAATTCGAGATATTTTTTATTTTAAATAAAATTAGTGACTTTTATTAAAAATAAAATTGATTGAAAAATTTTGAAGTATATTTTAACAAAGTAATCAACTCTTGACCTGCTGATGGTATACAGATCGATAATAGTATAAAACTTGAAAGATTATCGACGAAGCAGTCGACTCTTTAGCCCACATACAAAATGGTATACAGATCGATAATAGTATAAAAATTGTAAGATTATCAACCAAGCAGTTGGCTCTTTAGCCCACATAAAAAAATGGTATACAGATCTATAATAGTTTTTTAAAAATATATATAATAATAACATTTTGAGTTGTAGCATAATCAACAAAGCAGTCAACTCTTTACCCCCTATAAACGCAGATGGATGGACCCAAAGAATTAAATGAGATCTACGGCGGCAACAGTTTCAGACAAGTCAACAGCAGCACAAATCAATGAATTGGATCGGTAAATGCCATCGCTTTCTTTAAATCCTTCTTCTTTGTTTTCTGTATTTAACATTGAATTCAGCACTTCAGTTTTGGTTTACGGTATTCAAGTTTAGATGTACACTATGTCAATGTGGAATATGGATATACTTAAGATTATACTTTTATACATATTCGAATATATGTCAAACATGGGTCGAGGAAAATGAAGAGGTTGTGGGGTGCCCATTTTGGGGGTAGAATTTGCCATCTTTGTGATTTCCATAAACCATAGTTTCATAATGAGCTAAAACAAATATGTCGTTTTGTCTTAGCAGGCATCATTGTCCCATTCATAGCTGTTTCAGTGATTGGGGGCTGTGTTGGAAGACCCCTGGTTCATCCGGCTCCTAGTACAATAGCCGATAGACATATTCGAAAGCCCCTGCAAACGATTCGACCATATAATATTGCTCACCGAGGCTCTAATGGGGAGCTTCCTGAAGAAACTATTGCTGCATACAAGGCATCTTTCTTTGTCTTCTGATTCTTGGATTTTATCTCATCTTTGCTTTCAACTTGAATATGCTGTTCATTAACATGTTGCACCAGTGTTTAACTTGAAAAAGATTAGACATGCTTGACATATCGCATATACCAGTATCAGATACCCGCACCCTAGTTTTAGTAACATACTTACATTGTATCTTCACACACACACACACACACACATGGATTTAGACAGTTTATCTTCTTTTCTTGGTGAAAGATCATGTTTGAAACTCTGGCTGTTTCTTGCAGAGAGCTATTGAAGAGGGTGCGGATTTCATTGAATCCGATATCCTTTCCTCCAAAGATGGTGTCTTAATATGCCTCCATGATTTAATACTTGATAACACCACTGACGTTGCTAATCATAAGCAATTTGCTAATCGTAAAAGATCGTATGAAGTCCAAGGTGTAAACATCACTGGGTGGTTTGTTGGTATAATAAAACAATCCTTTGTCTTTTTATGTTTGCATTTTATTACAGAATCACGGTATCTTCCCCTTGCATCTATCTTTACAAGGTTGTCTGTTGTGCTTTGTTACCTGGACTCATATATGACACTCATGTCGAATTTTAAGTAACGTTGAAGTTACTCATCTTGCCATTTAATTGGCAACGACTTGTATAATCTGCAGTTGATTTCACACTGGAGGAACTGAAGCTCTTACGAGTGAAGCAGCGCTTCGGATTTCGAGATCAACAATACAATGGTCTGTTTTTCCAATTTTATTTCATTGATGTAATTGTTCACCATTGTTTTACCTAATCATGATTATGCATTGCCAACTTATGAATTAGCTATGGTAATTTCTGGTTTGCTTATGCAGGAAAATTCTCATTGATTACTTTTGATGAGTTCATCTCAGTTGCACTGCATGCTAAAAGAGTTGTTGGAATCTATCCAGAGATTAAGAATCCAGTTTTTATCAATCAACACGTAAGTAGCTGTTAACCATTACCGGACTCTCACTTTCCTTTAAATTTACGTATTTGACATATATTCTCGAATCTCGACACATATTCAAACCTAAATTTAAAATTATAATCCGAGTTTGGGTAACAATGGTAATTAGTAATTACTAATTTAACAGGGTGTTTCTTTGAATTCTCATCTTTTAAGCCATTACAACAGGTGAAATGGTCAGATGGAAAGAAATTTGAGGACAAATTCATGGAGACACTGGAGAATATGGATATAAAGGATCTTATGTCAACAGAATGGCTTAAGCAACCCATATTTATCCAATCATTTGCCCCAACTTCTCTCACATATATTGCAAACCTCACAAACTTGCCAAAAATTTTGTTGATTGCTGATCTGACAACAAGAACAGAGGACACTAACCAGGTTTATGCACTACTACTATCCAGTTATGTTATCTGTAATTAATGCAGGTGTCGAATACATATATGTGTTCAACTCTGATACAGATATTCTTGAAATTCGCGTGCTTGTTTACTGAAGCTAAATGTTTCTGCAGTGGTTCTTTGAGATTACTTCAGACAGTTACTTTAGTTTCATAAAGAAGTATGTGGTTGGAATTGGACCTTCGAAGGAGACAATTCTACCGTCGCTAGATAATCACTTGAGTAAAACTAGTAACGCTGGTCTTGTAGCCAAAGCGCATGCTCATGGCCTCCAGGTGACAATCGGATTCCCAGACGTTTCTTTTGCTTCATCATTACTTCCTTAGAATCGAAATTTGGTCATCTTGCTCGGCATGCACTTGCATTCAAAGTATCACTCTCTTTAGGCATTAATATTACCCAAAGATGCCCCTCCTTTGGTTCAAACCCGACTCATATGAGAGACCTTGTTTTCTCAATCAGAGTACCCATAATGCCTTAGATATATGCGACACAGGAGAGACATCCTAGGACCTGATCATTAAGCATTCAGCTTGGAAACGGCGTAGTTTTCCTTTTCTGAATAAATGTTAACTTTATTTATTCAAAAATAATGAGTTCATACAATCAGACCCCTTACAACCAGTAAAAAAAAACCCGCCCCCATACAAGATTCAACTCGATACAAAAAAATCTGACTATTTTTGCTCTGTTAATAGGCAAGCCTAACAATTTACACCTAGTAGTCTCCTTAATACATTGAACAATATTATCAACCTACAAAGATTTTTGCTGAAAAATATAGAGATTCCTCTACCTCCACACATAATAGATAAAGGAATTTCAAGTAATTTCCATTACAACCGCAAGAAGAGACCTGCCCTTAAAGCGATTAATAGCCCACGTTAGTTCCCAACTGCAATCCCTCACTTCATACTGCAGATGATAAAACTGTATCACTCCTATCCAGACAACTTTAAAGAATGAGCAACCAAAGAAGATATGATCCCTTGACTCTAGCCTACACCCACATAGAACACAACCAACATCCACATTGAGACCAAAGGTGATCAACCTGTCCCTTGTAGGAAGTCTATTTAATATTACCATCCAAGAAATAATTGAATTCTTCGGAATATGAAACGGACGCTACACTAATTTATGCCACACAATCTTATCTTTCTTCTACCTCACATCATCCCAAATTCATGCAACTGTAAGGCTTGAATCTAAAAATTCCAACTTCAGAGCAGATGACCTCAATTTCAGAAGTATTCTCCACACTTATCTACCCCCACCTGTTGAAGTTTATACACAAGAATCTTGAAGCTATTAAAGATACAAGAAGTACATTATCAATCAAGAATATGCAGTGCATTTATACATGAGTTTGCTGCCTTCACAGCCTTCTAACAGCTTTTAACAACTCTAACCAACTGCTAACCACCTGCACATTAACTGCACACACACACACTGCTAGCAGCATGCACGTACGCATGTAATCATGCTTCAACATTCTCCCTGTCCTTCTCAGTTGTTCTCTTCTTTGCTACCTGCACTTTCTGAGTAAACACCACATGTGCAGACTTAGGCAACAGTTTTGTCATCCCATCAGCCACTTGATGTTCAGACGGTACATAGTTAACTCAAACAGCTCCACATTCAACCTTTTCACGTACAAAGTGTATATCCAGTTCTATGTGCTTTGATCGTGCATGAAATACTAGATTAGCACTCATGGCAATGACACACGTATTATCACTCCACGCAACCGGAACCGCATCAACTACTTCACCCATGTCTGCCAACAGAGACTTAACCCAGATCACCTCAGCTACCGTATCAGCAACACTGCGGTATTCAGCTTCTATTATTGATCGAGCCACTGTCTTCTGTCGCTTCGCACTCCATGAGACCAAGTTACAGCTAAGAAAGACACATGAGCCAGACACAGACCTACGGTCATCGACGTTACTGGCCCAGTCAGCATCAGCAAACGCAGTCACACATCACCCTTCAGCCGCAGTCGACAGCCTGAACACCAAGCCCCAATCAATTGTACCACTCAAGTAATGCAGTATCCTCTTAAATGCAAGCCAATGGCCATCACAAGGATGATGCATGTACTGAGCCACTCGATTAACACTAAATGCAATGTCTGGCCTTGTATGACTTAAGTACAACAAGGAACCAACTATACTTCGATACATCCAAGCGTCTGAAAGTGATTTCCCAGCATCACTCGTTAGTTTCGGTGACACCACCATTGGTGTAGGAGCAGGTTTGGCAGTAAGCATCCCAGTATGCTCCAGCAACCCTTGAATAAACTTGCGCTGGCTTAACACCAGCTGCTCCGACGATCTACGAACCTCAATACCCAGGAAATATCCAAGCTCTCCCAGATCTTTCAAGGAGAAATTTTTGCCAAGCAAACTAACTACTTCATCAACAGCATCACTCGATTCACCTGTTATGATAATCCCATCTACGTACACAAGCACCAGTGTACGAACTCCACCTACTCGATGAACAAACAAGGATGCATCCACCGTTGTACCAAAGAATCCTAGTTCTAACAAGAAGTTACGTAACTTGGCATACCACATACGCGATGCTTGTCGTAGCCTATATAGGGCCTTCTTCAATCTACATACCAATCGGGTCCCATCACTGGCTATACATTCAAACCCTGGTGGTTGCACCATGTACACCTCTTCTCCGAGGTCCCCATTAAGGAATGCATTGTTAACATCCACTTGCCTCAAACTCCAACCACGAGTGACAGCTAGTGACAAGACTACATTCACCATGGCGACCTTCACAACAGGGATGAATGTATCACTAAAATCATGGCCAGGTACCTGTGAGTAACCCCTCGCAACAATACGAGCCTTATGCTTCAACACAGAACCATCAACATTAAACTTGATCTTGAACAACCACTTATAGCCAACTGTTGCACGCCCTTTCGGTAATGGTTCAAGCCACCAGTTATCGTTTCTCACCAATGCATCATACTCAGCCAACACTGCTTCCCTCCACTGAGGATCTTGAAGTGTGTGAGTAATTGAACACGGCTCACTGCCACTGTCCTGGGCTTGAGCAAGGAGCACATTTGGTTTAAAAATCCCTCGTTTGCTACGAGTGACTTTCGGATGCTCATTGTGAACCGAGGAATAAGTTGGAACAACCTCTGTCTGTCTAGGTGCCTCAACATGAATTGAGGAACTCGCTGGTGCAACATCGGTCTGACTAGTCACTTCATCAGGAACTACCTCATCATTCACAACACCATTATTTTGACATCCATGAATACTTCCACTATCAGCAGGCTGACCTTCCTCACTGCTAGAAGCTCTAGCTACCTCAACTTCTAGCATCACCTCATTGCCCACTGGTTCATATCCAACCTTGTGCACCACAGGTTGTAGGGCATTAGCACAAACACGTTGCGCACCTGGAACCACCATCAAAGACGCTCTAGTACATGGCCTTTGTGCACCTGTTCCACTCTTTTTCCCACCTTCAAGTCCAGCAAATGGAAATACTCGCTCTTCAAAAACTACATGTCGAGACACGTACACCCGTCCATCAGGTGCTAAGCACTGGTACCCTCGATGATTCATGCTGTAACCCAAGAACACACACGACTGTGACCTGCATGTAAGTTTATAGGGTTGAAACACCCGTAGGTGAGGGAATCACCTGTAGCCAAACACCCTTAGATGATCATACGTAGGAGGCTTTCCAAACAGTTTCTCAAATGGTGTGCAACTGTGAAGTACCTCAGTTGGCAACCTATTAATCAAGTGAGCTGTTGTCACTACTGCAAATGACCAATACTTTAAAGGTAAGGCTTCTCGAGCTAGTAAAGTCAGTGCCAAACAAATGCCTATGTTTCCTTTCAACCACTCTATTTTGTTGAGATGTATGAGGACACGTCACACGATGATGAACTCCACACTGTGCAAGAACGGCTGACAGAGACCGATACTCTCTTCCCCAATCACTCTGTACAACTTTCACCTCCTTACCAAATTGAGTTCGAACTAGCCTCTGAAATAAGTGAAATGCTTGAACAACCTGCCCTTTGTTTTTCATCAAATACACCCAAGTATGCCTTGAAAAGGCATCAACAAATGACACATAATATCGAAAACCGTTTGACACAATATAACCAGGACCCCATAGATTGGTAAACACCAACTGAAACGGTTGTTCATATTGAGTTTCAGACGCATAGAACGACAACCTATGGCTTTTTCCCATTTGATAAGAAACACATACATGAAACAACTGTTTATTAAAACTTCTTGGCAATTGATATTACATTGCTTGCAAACTTGCAACAAAACTTTGTAGGATGGATGACCCAATCGATCATGCCATAGTACATAGTTATTACTAGAATTAATGACTACATTTCCTTTAACAGGTCAACCCCGAGTATACATAACACCACCAAACTCATACAAGCCATCCGTTTCTCTACCTCGTAGCAACACAACACCATTTTTTTCATCTCGAACTACACAATGATCAACATGAAATTCCAGGAAAACTCCATTGTCCCTAGTAAGCTTGGAGACCGATACCAGTTTCTTAGTTATCGAAGGTACATGCAACAAGTCACTCAACATTAAAGCACGAGACACAGTAAAAATAGATGCTTGACCAATTTTATTAATGCGCAAATCATTACCATTGTCTACAACCAGCTTACCAGCTCATGTATACTCTGTGTCATCCATAACTTCTGTGGCATCAGGCGTGATATGATGAGTGGCTCCTGAATCCACAAATCAAAAAGATGGGGACGAGCTCGTAGCAGCCACATTTACAGCAGGCTTAAACTGTTCTTGATCACTTGCTCCAGCTACACTCATATTGACCTTATTTCCACACACACAATTATTGGAATTAAAGTGACAGATATTAGCATTAGGCGCTCGATCCTTAAACGCGTTCCTTTCATCAGGCTCGTCTACACCCGAGAACGTTTTATCGAACTTGTACCAGCACCGGTTAACAAGGTGATCGTTCTTGCCACATAATTGGCACTGCACCTTGACACGGCCTCTCCCACGACCAATTTGATTTTTATGCATAACGTATCTTTCTGATGTGGCTTGATCTTGTCGAGTGTCATCCATGGAAGCTTTTACCTGTGAGACATTCGCAGCAACAATTATATTGTCAAACCTACTGAAGTTCTTTTGTTGAGTTTTAGCATCAATAAGTACAACCATAACCCCTTTTAAGGTCAAGGAATCTCGGTTGGCTGATAAAACAGTGACAATCGGCTTGTACTCAGCTGATAACCCATTCAAGATTGTGGCAATGTGCTCCAGCTCGGGCACTGGACTACCACATGATGCCAAGGCATCGCATATCTCTTTAACTTGAGATATGTAGCCTCGCATCCCCAAATCTCCTTGATAAACTACTTTAAGTTGATAGTGCAGGTTCATCACTGTTGTTGTAGACTTGCAGGCAACGATCTTGTTAATCGTTTTCCATACTTGAGCAGCTGTCTCAGCCCCTACTAAATGCGGTAGTAAGGACGGGTTGATTGTAGACAGCAACCATGAGGCCAAGGTACTGTCTTGGGCCACAAAGACCTCATAATCTTCATTTTCAACCACCGCACCACCATCCAACACAACCGTCTCAGGCAGAGCAGCCACCAAACCAGAAAGCAGTTTCTCAAGCCAATGACTCCTAACTGTCAACAACACATGTTGTTTCCACAGCAAGAAGTTTCGTTCATCAAGCACCACCGTCAATCATTTATTAGTAAACCCTTTGGAAGCAGCTGCCCAATGATGGATGCTGCTCATAACACCACCAGAAGATGGAGTAGTAGGGAGCGCCATATAGCATATATGCACTCAACAATCAATACACTCTTATTGCACCACCGGATCAATGGCATCTGATACCATGTTGAAGTTTATACACAAGAATCTTGAAGCTATTAAATATACAAGAAGTACATTATCAATCAAGAATATGCAGTGCATTTATACATGAGTTTACTGCATTCACAGCCTTCTAAAGGCTTCTAACTACTCTAACTAACTATTAACCACCTGCACATTAACTGCACACACACACACTGCTAGCAGCATGCACGTATGCATGTAATCATGCTTCAATACCACATGTCCCATGCACTTGTCAAAAAGTAGACTCGTTTAACACATACTCATATAGCCAAGCAACCCACAAGGAACCCTCATTCCTCAATACTGCTTTGATAAGCATGAACAAACAAGCTTTGTTCCAGATCCTCAAGACTCAAATCCCCCTCGAACTTAAGACAACAAATAGTTTTTCAGTTAACTCGTGCTCCTTTCGCATCAACATCATTGTTCTTCCAAAAAAACATACACAATGATTAATTCGGTTAATAATAATCTTTGGGATGAGCAATTGCCTACTCTAGGAGTTCCGAATATTGAAAATGACTGCCTGAATTAGTTGAATATTACTCGCATAAGACAAGTGATGAGCTACCCATGTTTGGAATCTTGCCTCAATTTTGTCTACAAGTGGGTTACAATCCTAAATAATGCACAGGTAGCCTCCCAATTTTAATACCAACATCATCATCGATCATCTGTAACTCGTTCCTCGGGATCTCCGATGAAAAAATCTCACTTATCTTAGCATTAAACGCCAATATCGAATATTGGCAAAACTCCTGCATAACCACCTAAATACCCTTAACAAAGTCATAACAGTCCTTAGAGAAAACTAAAAGGTCATCCGCAAAACAAAGATGAATAAGGCCAATTGTAGCGCATTTATGATGATATTTACCCAAACAGTTGTATCCAACATCTTAGAAAGGATATTCATAGATAAAATAAATAAATACGGAGGTAATGGATCCCCTAACGAACCCCCTTGCTCCCTTAAAGTACCCAACAAGACCCCATTCAAAAGAACTGAGAACTTAAGAGATATAACACAAAGTTTAATCCAATTAAACATAACAAAAGGCATATCCAAAGCTTCAAGAAGTTTGGTAATGAAATCCCAACTGAAGGAATCAAATGCTTTATGAATATCAACCTTGATAGCACACCTTGGAGGGAGGGAGGTTCTTACATACCCCCAACAAGTTCTTGTGTAACCAAAGTGTTATCAATGATATTCTTTCGTTGAACAAAGACGCTTTAGCTACTAGAAATAATACCCTCAAATAATCAATGATGTTACTCACAAGAATACAAATAATATACTTATGAACCACCCTACAACATAAAAACCGACGAAGTTTGAGTGCTTATTTTATTTAATCAAAATCCATTTTTTTATTATTTTCTACCATTTTCAGGTGCACCCATACACATTCCGAAACGAGAACATATTCTTGAACTTCGACTTCAAACAGGATCCATATGAAGAGTATGATTTATGGATAAACAAAATTAAGGTAGATGGATTGTTCACAGACTTTGCAGGTAGTCTTCATAATTTCCAAGAATGGACCTCAGATCGTGATGCATCCAAGCTACTTCATAAGATTGCCAACATGATTTCCTCAAAAAAAGGCAATTGAGAACATTATTATTATGATTTCCTCGTAGGTCACTGTCTTGTGCTTATTTTCATGTGAATTTTTCATATTCTGTTGCATCAACAATTACTTTACTTTTATAAAAGCCTTTGATTTTCATGTTTTATGATAATTTATATGTCTTGATTGTGTTAATAAACATGGGGATTGAGATTCTTAGCTTGATGAATGATATTGTGTTGGTTCTAACTATTGTTAGCATTTTGAGCAAAATGGGATGGCATTGTTTATAATACTTGGAAAGCAGTAAAATTAGACATTATGCCAAAATCCTTACTTGGTTGGGATCACGAAATTTCAACCGTTCAATCAATCACTGGATGGTTATCGTTTGATTACACATGCAGTCTATCTTTTCCTACTCTTTTTAAGCATTTGTTTCCATGCATGGAATTCTACCTCAATTGCAACACAAAAACAAAGGGGAGCATAGAGAGAAAGAATGAGTCTTTAGGTTCTTTGCTTTGATTGTGTTCTTAATACCTATTGTTCACCGTCGTTTCAAGTCACACCTATTGTAAAATTATGATTTTTTTTTATGTTATATTTTAACTCAAATTATAATTGATAATTAAGTAGATTTTTTTGTTGTAATTTTAAGGGTTAAAGATGACTTAGATTTTTTTGTTGTAATTTTAAGGGTTAAAGATGACTTAGTAATTAGGTTTATTTAATAAAGTAAATATTTATTTTAGAAAATAATTCTCGATGATCAACCATTCGACTCTATAAATAGAGATAATTTCTTAACCTTTAGAATTATGCGAGAGAGAATTATTTTGGATAAAGATGACTTAGAATTATTTGGGATCTCTGTAACTTTTGCGGTTTATGTTGCAGAGATAGTTTTTTAAGGATATTGAGAGTTTTTTTAATACACCAGGTTTTGGGTACATGTGATATCATGTATTTGTATTCTTCATGTTTTTATTTTTATAGTGGATTATTATTCATCTCGCCCATGGAGATGGACAATGTCGAACCACATTAAATCTAGTCTCTTGTGCATGTTTTATTTTATATTGATATTGTTTTAGTCATTTTTCTTCTCTTAAATTCCTAACAAGTGATATCAAAGCTATAGTTCGGACTGTAGAATTTTGAAGGAATTTGATATTACAGATTTTGTTAGCGATTTTGAAGACGTGTAAGAGGATGTAATTTGTTTGCTTCAATAAAGTTTACATAAGAATTAAAGTTGTTGAAGACTTAGTGATAGTGTTTCAACGGATATGTGCCTTACGTAAATATTGAAGTTGTTGAAGACTTGAAGACCAAGTTTTTTTATGAATTTACGATCAAAGCATAAATTTATTATATTTTGACCCAAATTATAATTAGTAATTAAGTAAATATTACTCGGTAATTAACTTTATCTAATAAAGCAAATATTTATTTTAGGCAATATTGAAATTTGGGTCAAAGCGGAGATTTGTTATATTTTGACCCAAATTATAATTGGTAATTAGGTAAATATTACTCGGTAATTAACTTTATCTAATAAAGTAAATATTTTAGGCAAGCTTTATTATAGAATAAAAAATCTTGATGACTAAATATTTAACTCTATAAATAGAGATAATGTCTTAACCATTAGAATTATGTGAGAGAGAATTATTTTGAAAAGATGTAATATTTTTTAGATCTCTGTAACATAAACCCCAAAAGTTACAGTAGTTAATTTTGTAGGATATTGAGAATTTTTAGGATACACCGTTTTTGGTATCTATACCAAGTTTTGAGATTCATATGATTTTATGTATTTGTACTATTTTTGTTCTCTACGTTTATAGTGGATTATTGTTCATCTCGTTCATAGAGGAAAGTAAAGCTTAACTGTGACATCCTCAGTATCGGGTTAGTGACTAAATTGTAAAATTTTAGAATTTGGGGATAAAAGTAGAAAAGTTAAATAATTCAATTATTTATGTAAAGATATTTCCTGAAAGTTATTAGTAATTATTAAAGGAGATTAAGGGAAAAATGGTCTTTGTTATCTAAAGATAATTATCTTATCTCTTTATTAAGAGATAAGCTTGTGGGGAGAGTTATCTGGAAAACTCTTCTCCCTTCTTCTTCCTCCTCCACGTGAGAGCTCAAGCAAAGGTAAGATTTCTTGTTGTTGATTATTAGCTGAAATTTAAGGTTGAGTTTTGATTATTAGGTGATAATTAAGCATAAGAATAGCTTAAATTATCTTGAAACAATAAGATGAAGAGAATAGAGGGAATTAAAGAAAAGAGAAGAATAAGTGAAATCTTGAAAGAGAGTTCTTTAATTAGGTTTTAGAGTGAATTTGACTTGTCATCAATCTAATTAACATGTATGAAGTGTTAGAATTTGATTTGTAACATGTTAAAATTTGGGTATGATTCTTGAATTTCTTAAGAAGAATAGGATATGGAGGTTAAAGAAGTGATTATTGAGTAGAAATGAGTACACATATGTATATGTAAGTTAGGAATATGAAAGGGGATGAAATATGATGCATTTGAGTTGAATTAAATAGATTTTCGGGTTTAAAATGCAAATTCTGGGCAAGGTGTATCGATGCACATTGAATGTGCATCGATGCACTCTTTAAAGAAGAAACATCAAATGCAATTAGTGCATCGATGCATAAGGAGTGCATTGATGCATCCCTTTAAAAATGAAAACATCGAAGGTAATTTGTGTATCGATGCATGGGTAGTGCATCGATGCACAGGATAAAGAATGCATCGATGCACTGTAGAATGCATCGATGCACTTCATGGGTAAATTGAAATAGACATTTCTTTTGGTTTAAGAAATGATATATTAGTGTATATCAATTGGATACTGATATGTATCAATGTATGATTATATAGATATCGAGCATGAACAAGTCCGGGTCGATTGGAAAGTTAAGATTCGATCGAAAGAGAAGAAAATCATAAAGTGTATTGGAACGTAGTGAGGCCAAGGTGAGTGCACATTAGATAATGTATTATGTTTATTGGAAATAAGACTCGTGACAAGTCTATTTCCTATAGTAGAATGCATGAATTCATTAATATGAGCATATGTTTGATATGTTATGTGTGTGTTATTGATTGTTACATATGTTAATGATATGAGTGAATAAATGTTTATATGATACATGTTAAGTGTCTATGATATATGCACACATGATAATATGATATAAGTTAAATTATGTAATATGATACATAACAATGAGATAAGTGAAGAAATGTATATATGATAGAGATTATGTATGTGATAAATGAATGATATGAAAAGTGACATGAACTATGTGAAAAGAAGCTACCTGATTACAGGTACATGTGAAAGAAGTTATGAGTTTATAAGAACATGTGATATGAATGTGTATATGTGATACTTGAAAGTGAATCATATTATTATATGAATATAAGAAATGATATGATAAAAGCTATAAGCATATGAGATATGACTATGTGAAACGATATAAAAGAGAATGCCAATGTAAGTGTTAGGAGAGCTAGAGGTATAGTTGGCATGCCAAGAGTCGAGGGTCTACGTGGTCTTTCGGGACATAGTGGTCCTTTGGGACATAGTGGTCCTTTGGGACATACTGGTCATTCGGGACATATGTGTTCTATGTAGTCCTTTGGGACATCTACATGGTCCTTCGGGACAAATTCTACGCGCCCCTAGTGGGAATTATATGAGTTGTGGTGACAGTATAGTACACAACCTCAGTAGACTCACATATCTACAGTTCTCACATGTGTACATGGGTTAATAAAGAGATAATTGTGAAATCAATGTATGTGATATATGTATATGGATTGCATGATATGATATGATATATGTGTGATATGGGTTATTGTATCTGTTACATGAATATATGTTGATGTATATGTGAGTGAGTATAAATGACTTATATATGATGATATAAGAATTTGTTATAAGTTATATAATATGAATGTAAGAGATCATATGAATAAGAAATAAGAGATATGAAGTATAATAGTTGTTCCTGCATGATTACAAGTTAGAGTTTACATTATATATTTATTCGCCTTATTAAGTCATAGACTTAGCGTGTGAGTGTTTCACACGCAGGTTCTTACAAGCTTATGGATTGTTGAGGTGCAAGTCATGTCAGTATTTTTCCTTACAAAGTTTCAGATCAGAAAATAGATGATTTAAATGTATTTTATGGTATAAAAGTCTAGTTGGCATGTATTTAAAAGATTTGAATTGTATAAGTTCTGAATAGTTCTGTAAACGTTTTGAATAAGTTATATGTTATAAAAGTTTTTAAATTACTCACTATTTTATACAAGTAAATGTTTTAAAAAGTCATTGTGACACCTCAGACTCGGATCCAGGTTGGATTCGGGTTGGGGGTGTTACATTTAATGATATCAGAGCTAAGGTTTAGCCGATTCTAGGCTAAAAACTAAGTCAAAAAGTGTTTTAAAAAATACACATGCCAACACAAAGTGGGAAATTTTCTGATTTGATAGGGTAAGGAGTGTGATGTCTTGTTAATAAGTTAAATTGTTATGTTATATAAGATAAGTGAATACTTGATAATGATTTATGAGATATATATATGTTTATATGATATGCTAGAAGATATGTGAACATATGCAAATGACATATGTTATATGATATAAATTGGATGATCATGTGCACATGTGATTTGTGATAGAAGAAATTATATGAGCACATGAATCTATGAGAGCTTCCAAAGTGAAGCACAAGGCGATAGACCTGAAGGTAATAGCATTCACCTGCCCTGGCCAGGCAGGGAGAAGAGCGAAAACCTCAGGGAATGCTTGTATATGATTAGAGAATGAATCATGATGTAGAAAGGTGTTTCAATGTGTTTTCAATTATATACTTCGTTAACTCATAGAATGAATGTATCGAAATAGTTAAAAGAGTTCTGAGCACCCGAGCTCAAGGGTGAATTTGAGGAAGGTTCTGTTGTTACAGACTTTTGGATAAATGATACTAAGATAATGCTAGAAGGTGTTCATTTCTCCATAGTGGAGAAATTAAATTGAGAAGTTCGTTATTACGTGGATAATATAGAATATGGTGAACAAATGTCACCATAAGAACGTTAAAAGATCAAGTGATGTGGTTAGAATTTGAAAAATGATTCAAGAATAAGTGCATCAATGATACGTTTATAAGATGAATGAAATCAGAGTTATGAATATGAAACCAAGGGGTAGTACTGTGTATAAGCAAGAGTGTGGAAATAATAAGGGTTTATACTCTAGAAGAAAGAGTTAGCGTTGACTAACAAGGTTACACGATGAAAAATATGTTGATCATATGAACGTGATATAGTGAAGGAAATAACGATTCTTACGTTTGAGGGAATGTAAGAATTGAAAGAGAAGTATGAAGTAATATGAAAAGATTATATGCCTTAAAGTACAAATAATAATTAAGAAATAATGAAAGGTTGGATGTATATGATTGGTCAATTAAGGCTTGTGCTCTAGATTGAACAGTTGTTATTGACTAGCCGTAAGAGTAAAGGTGATAGAGTTAAAAAGATTGGAAGAAAAGATAAAGTGAGTTAATTAAGTATGATATGGATTTGAATATGGTTTTGTATTTGGATTATATAGATATGATGAAGACAAAGAGAAGAGTATTTACAAGTTTTAAAGAGAGCTTTGAGGAAGAAAAATATAAGTGTAAGAAATGGTAAAGAATAAGGTTATGTATAAGTAAAACTGATTATTAAAGTTATAAAAATGGGATAAAGTTGTGAAAGCAACATAGAATATTAAAAGATATGTTTTTATTGATATGTACAATGAAAATTCGAGGACGAATTTTCTTTAAAATGAGGGGAGATTTGTAACATCCTCAATACCGGGTTAGTGACTAAATTGTAAAATTTTATAATTTGGGGATAAAAGTAGAAAAGTTGAATAGTTTAATGATTTATGTGGAGATATTTCTTGAATGTTATTAGTAATTATTAAAGGAGATTAAGGGCAAAATGGTCTTTATTATCTAAAGATAATTATCTTATCTCTTTATTAAGAGATAAGCTTGTGGGGAGAGTTATCTGGAAAGCTCTTCTCCCTTCTTCTTCTTCCTCCTCCACGTGAGAGCTCAAGCAAAGGTAAGATTTCTTGTTGTTGATTATTAGCTGAAATTTAAGGTTGAGTTTTGATTATTAGGTGATAATTAAGCATAAGAAGAGCTTAAATTATCTTGAAACAATAAGATGAAGAGAATAGAGGGAATTAAAGAAAAGAGAGGAATACGTGAAATCTTGAAATAGGGTTCTTTAATGAGGTTTTAGAGTGAATTTGACTTGTCATCAATCTAATTAACATGTATGAAGTGTTAAAATTGGATTTATAACATGTTAAAATTTGGGTATGATTCTTGAATTTCTTAAGGAGAATAGGATATGGAGGTTAAAGAAGTGATTATTGAGTAGAAATGAGTGCAAATATGTATATGTAAGTTAGGAATATGAAAGGGGATGAAATATGAAGCATTTGAGTTGAATTAAATGGATTTTCGGGCTTAAAATGCAAATTATGGGCAATGTGTATCGATGCACATTAAATGTGCATCGATGCACTCTTTAAAGAAGAAACGTTGAATGTAATTGGTGCATCGATGCATAAGGAGTGCATCGATGCATCCCTTTAAAAATGAAAACATCGAAGGTAATTTGTGTATCGATGCATGGGTAGTGCATTGATGCACATATTAAAGAATGCATCGATGCACTGCAGAATGTATCGATGCACTTCAAGGGGAAATTGAAATAGACATTTCTTTTGGTCTAAGAAATGATAGATTAGTGTATATCAATTGGATACTGATATGTATCAATGTACGATTATATAGATATCGAGCACGAACAAGTTCGGGTCGATTGGCAAGTTAAGATTCGATCAAAAGAGGGGAAAATCATAAAGTGTATTGGAACGTAGTGAGGCCAAGGTGAGTGCACATTAGATAGTGTATTATGTTTAATGGAAATAAGACTTGTGACAAGTCTATTTCCTATAGTAGAATGTATGAATTCATTAATATGAGCATATGTTTGATATGTTATGCGTGTGTTATTGATTGTTACATATGTTAATGATATGAGTGAATAAATGTTTATATGATACATGTTAAGTGTCTATGATATATGCACACATGATAATATGATATAAGTTAAATTATGTAATATGATACATAACTATGAGATAAGTGAATAAATGTATATATGATAGAGATTATGTATGTGATAAATGAATGATATGAAAAGTGACATGAACTATGTGAAAAGAAGCTACCTGATTACAGGTACATGTGAAAGAAGTTATGAGTTTATAAGAACATGTGATATGAATGTGTATATGTGATACTTGAAAGTGAATCATATTATTATATGAATATGAGAAATGATATGATAAAAGCTATAAGCATATGAGATATGACTATGTGAAACGATATAAAAGAGAATGCTCATGTAAGTGTTAGGAGAGCTAGAGGTATAGTTGGCATGCCAAGAGTCGAGGGTCTACGCGGTCCTTCGGAACATAGTGGTCCTTTGGGACATAGTGGTCCTTCGGGACATATGTGTTATATGTAGTCCTTTGGGACATCTACGTGGTCCTTCGGGACAAATTCTACGCGCCCCTAGTGAGAATTATATGAGCTGTGGTGACAGCATAGTGCACAACCTCAATAAACTCACATATCTACAGTTCTCACATGTATACATGGGCTAATAAAGAGATAATTGTGAAATCAATGTATGTGATATATGTATATGAATTGCACGATATGATATATGTTTTGATATGGGTTATTGTATCTGTTACATGAATATATGTTGATGTATATGTGAGTGAGTATAAATGACTTATATATGATGATATAAGAATTTGTTATAAGTTATATAATATGAATGTAAGAGATCATATGAATAAGAAATAAAATATATGAAGTATAATAGTTGTTCCTGCATGATTACAAGTTAGAGTTTACATTATATATTTATTCGCCTCACTAAGTCATAAACTTAGCGTGTGAGTGTTTCACACGCAGGTTCTTACAAGCTTATGGATTGTTAAGGTGCAAGTCAGGTCAACATTTTTCCTTACAAAGTTTCATATCAGAAAATAAATGATTTAAATGTATTTTATGGTATAAAAGTCTAGTTGGCATGTATTTAAAAGATTTGAATTGTATAAGCTCTGAATTGTATAAGCTCTGAATAGTTCTGTAAACGTTTTGAATAAGTTATATGTTATAAAAGTTTTTAAATTACTCACTATTTTATACAAGTAAATGTTTTACAAGTCATTGTGACACCTCAGACTCGGATCCAGGTCGGATTCGGTTTGGGGGTGTTACATTAACCATGTTAAATATCGTCTCTTGTGTATGTTTTATTTTATATTGATATCGTTTTAATATTTTTTCGATTTCAAATTCTTAACATCCCATTGTCATTGTCAGATATCTCATTGTCATTGTCATTGTCATTGTCTCAAATTCCTAAATTTTAATATTCAAATCCCTAAATCAAAATCCTAAATCACAATATCCAAACCTTAATTCCATAAATCTCAATACCTTAATTCAATCTCGGGTTTTACTAGTGTTGCTACTGGACCTCCGCTACTGTTACTATTGCGCTGCATGAATTTGCTTATATTTTCAATCGAATTGCAATTTACAATCCTAAAACTGCCGCAAAATACAATTTGCAACCCAAAAAAATGTTGATGGCCATTAGGTGGGTGGGTGGTAGTGGAGTTAGTCGACAGTAATAGTGGTCGGAGGCTCATTGATGCATAGAACTACGTGAGGTTTTGATGACTTTTAGGGCATTTTTTTAAAAAATAAAAAAATTAGAGTTTTTTTTATTTATGAATTTTATTTTTAAAAGTTAATGGAAATTAAAAATTAGATCATGTATTAAATACATATTAGTTGACAAATTTTTAATAGAATCTTTTAACGATAGTTAGAGTTGTGACATTTAAAATAATAATATTTGTAACGTTAAACATCTACCGAAACGAAAAATTATATAATTTAGTCAATTTTTTCATATCAAAACCTTATTTATTTGATAATAATTATAGGTTTTGGAGTAAGAAGATTATATCCTAAAAATAAAAAATAAAAATCGCCGATCCGATGGAGCGAGTGATATCCTTAACAAAGAAAAAGAAGAGGCTTTTACGTATATGAGGCGTGGACTTTTTTGCCTTCACTAAAACTTGCTTTAGAATTCAGATCCGCAGCACCAAAAGGCAAGGGAGCTTACCATTTCTGAATCCAAACAAGGGAAAAGCTTTTTCAGTTTTGCTTCCACGTTTTAAATGGCTGATGATGAGAATCAAGAGCAGAAGCCGTCGAAACCACTGGCGCCGTCTAAACGGCCGGTGATTACTCCCCCGCCACGGCCTTTCACGGAGGCTTTCTTCAACGGCGGGGCAGGCTTCATGGGCTTCAGTCCAGGTCCCATGACGCTCGTTTCTAACTACTTCTCCGGCACCGACGATTTCAAGTCCTTTTCTCAGCTGCTTGCTGGTGCCATGGCGTCGCCGGCAGCAGCCACCTCTCAAAGACAGAACTTCGCTCTTCCTACTTCGGCCGAAGATCAGGTCGATGTTAACCACGCTGAAGGTGGAGCTGACGCCGGATTGCGGTTCAAGCAGAATAAGCCGGCCGGTTTGGTGATAACGCAACCACAACCGTTTTATGCGATGCCGCAAGGGTTGCTGAGCCCTGCCAGCTTATTGGAATCTCCTGGATTTAGTGTATTTTCTCCTGGTGCTCAGGTAATATTAACGAGTTTAATTTTCCCTTCAAGGATGATTTTTTATTTTACGCACTACTTAATAGTTACCACTGCATGTGAATTCATTGTTAAATTTGATTGTGAGTTTTCCCAGTTTGTTGGTCTCTGGTCTAGAATGTGGTGCTTTTAGAATGGGAAAGGAGAGTTTGCTAATTTCAAGTATATGGGAATAGTTTCCCTATAGGTGCTCGGGATCCTATTTTTATTAAATATCTATAACATACATATGAATATGTAAATATGATGTCTTATAATCCTCCTATTACATGAAAAATATCTAACCATATGCATACTCGTATGTCAAGTCTATAATTTGTGCATGTGGCAATGTGGGGTGTCATTGTTAGTGGCAGCAATTAGGCTTTGCTTGGTAATATGGGAAGATAAAAATTAAAAAAAAAAAACAAAGAGAAAATGCATTACCTTGCCCTTTTCCTTTATAGTCAATCATTTTAACCAATTTCCTCTATTTTTGAAATGTATAGGGACCTTTTGGAATGACACACCAGCAGGCTTTAGCACAGGTCACTGCCCAGGCTGCACAAGCTCATTCACATTTGCAAATCCTTGCCGAATCTTCATCAACACCTCCATCATCTTTGGCACTAGTTTCTTCTTTTACTGCCAATACGGATCAGGAGGTGTCAACCTCGTTGCAGGACTCTAGTGTTACAACGAAGCAACCATCAGACATATCTCAGTCTGATAAGAGATCCCAACCTGCTTCGCTTATCATCGATAAGCCTGCCGATGATGGGTACAACTGGCGAAAGTATGGTCAGAAACAGGTAAAAGGCAGTGAGTTTCCGAGAAGTTATTATAAGTGCACGCATCCTGGTTGTCCCGTCAAGAAGAAGGTTGAGAGTTCAGTCGATGGCCAGGTCACTGAAATCATCTACAAAGGGCAGCACAACCATCAGCCTCCTCAGTTGAATAAGCGTGCAAAAGGTAGTGGAAGCTTAAGCGGAACTTCAAATAATAAGGGAAATTCTGAATCAACTTCCCAACTTCAGAGTGGCAACTTGAGCATAATCCAAGTAGGGACATCCGGTTATTCAATGTCCAAGAAGGACCAGGAGTCTAGCCTAGCTACAGCTGAACGTATTTCCAGGACAAGTGATAGTGATGCAGTTGATAATGAAACCGGTGCTGATGAAAAAGACGAAGATGAACCTGACAGCAAAAGAAAGTATGCAAAGATTTCTATATTCATCTTTATGCTCCATTGAATCAGTGATGAAGTCCCAATCCAAACAAACTTGTTTCTTTATATGCAGAAATGCAGAAACTAGAGTTTCAGACCCATCTTCCTCGCAGAGGACTGTCACAGAACCTAGAATTATATTGCAGACGAGAAGCGAAGTTGACCTATTGGATGATGGCTATAGGTGGCGCAAGTATGGTCAGAAAGTCGTCAAAGGCAATCCTTATCCAAGGTAATTGTTTATCCGTACACCAGGTGATAGCTCTTCGCACAACTGTAAAACTTACCTTTTTGTTTGAATCATGGTTAAGAGAGACACTTCAGTGTTGCATTTTGTCTTGTGTTTGATTATTTGGGTCATTCCTAGTGCAATTTTATGGTTCCACAGGAGCTACTATAAATGTACAACACCGGGATGCAATGTCCGTAAGCACGTCGAGAGGGCTTCAACCGACCCCAAGGCTGTTATAACAACTTACGAGGGAAAACATAATCACGATGTACCAGCTGCCAAAACTAGCAACCACAGCACGGCTAACACTGATACATCAAAAGGAAGAACACAGAATATAGCAACGGACAACCGTGGTATAAATAACAGTGCGAACAACAGAAAACAACCAGTAGCACGATTGCGGTTAAAAGAAGAGCATGTAACATAGTATCTCTGAATTGCAAGAATGAAAGAAAAAAAACATGGAAATGTTGCCATATTTCAGGCAAATTCACTCAAAGGGCAGATGATATGTAATATTCAAGAGAACAGGCGACAACATAAGATTGAATTAGGGTTCCGTGTTGTATGCAAACTAGTTTAGTGGGCATATATATATATATATACTGTAATTTAATTCTCTTATTCCATGCATTCTTTTGTACATGGATCATATCTTGTTTCATATGATTTGTCGGACACCAATATGTTTGAATCTCATGAATTTCTTAGATTATATCTCCTCTGCCCTTTGTCAATACACCTGTTGACTTGTGAATGTGTTTAAAACGCTATATACTTTAATGATTCGTATTAAATCTAATCTAATCTTCATATCACTACTACAGTAACAATATCAGGATATTGTGTTTTGACCACAATTTTAAATGTCATGTCAAGGTTAGATTGGCATAATGGATTGTAACTTTGAATTGCGAAACAGTCTAATTGATTCATTTGTTTGGGACTTTAGCTACATGGTTTAACCGCCTCTCATCAACTTGGGACTTTGTGACAATTTTACAAATGAAATTTGAGTTTTTTTAAATCTAAGTATCTTCTTATAAAATGATTAATTATATTTTTAATATAAAATATATTTAATTTGTTTTAAATTTCATTAATTAAATAAAACCAAAAATATTCATATGTTTTTTTAAAATAAACCAAAAATACATTTAATAATTTATTAAAAAATAATAAACAAAACACAAATATAAATATCATATAATTAACCGTACTTTATAATCATTAAAAAAAATCATTAATTGTTGGGGAAAGCTGAATTTCATATGAAAGCCCAAATCTCTCTAGAAAGCAAGATTTCGGTCGATGGTCCCTGGAGTTTCTTGCTGCATAAGTCGAACAAGGAAAAGAGGTGGAGGAGTCTACAAGGGCACATCTGAGTTTAAGCAGGAATTGTGATTAACGAACATATCGATTCATCTATTTTCTTCTCTGATTAGAGGTACGGTTTTCTCCAATTTAAACTTTACTTTTTTACTTTAAGGCTTTAGGGATTTGATTTTTTTGGGATTTATTTCTTTTTGTTGTCCCCGTAATATCCATCAAATTCTTGACATTTCTTCTAGTTTTCTTTTACTACCGAAATTTTGTTTGCGGTTCAGTTCATTTTATGATATTTTCTTTGAAATGTTTCTGTTTTTACTGTTCTATTTTGTTTTTGTTTTTGTTTTTTTAATTCCGCTTTGTTATCTCATACTTCGGAGACTTCCGCCATTTTCATCGGCGGTGTTATGACCTTTTGTACCTGCTTTTTGTTTTAAATAAATAAAACGAATTTTATGTTCCTTTTATTAAACACGGGGAATGGGAAGCTTGTTGATGTTCGGTGTTAGGCGGCGTAGACATCACATGGCTTCATAATTTTCAGCTGGTTAGCTTCTTAGGTTCTACGTGAGTACTAATTTTCCCTTTGGACCATATCATGTGGTGGCTTTTGCTTTGTAGTCGGGTTTAAATTGCACTGGTAATAGATAACAGTGGAAATGTGTTGTTTATAAAAAAATGACATCGGAGTTGAGTTACAAAAAGCATAGAGCTTATGCACTATTCCTGATCTGAAGACCATCGGTAGAATTGGATTTTGAATGTTAGAAAAGAGAACATAAAGTGAGGTCGTTAGTACTTCATTGTTTACTTGTATATTCTATTGATTTGAGGAACATTAACAAACGAGTGAAGTTTCAGGGTGATTAAGAGGGGTTTCTAAGTTGTTTCACCTCCACTCTTTGGGGTAAACACCCCTCCTCCCGCTTTGGAATTAGGGAACATCGGATGAGTAAATATTAAGTCCTTTTTACTTCTAAATAAACTGTTACCTGGCATAGCGTTTTTATTAACCATTTTAGCAATATATAAAAACATAGAATAATTGATACCAAAATTTCATATATCATTCATTTTCACACTTCTAAATGTAATTGTGACTCTTACAAATTGTTGTCATTTGATTGAAAGTTGTAGAAGTTTATAGATTTTATTAGGGGTATTATCTTTAGCAATTTGGATTTAATCTTACATCACTGTTTCTTTTGTGAGAAACTTAATCACTTTCCATAGTTATCTGAGGGTTACTGAAGCAAATGTTGTGTGGTATGTGAGAGCAGGAGATAATTATTGTTCTTTTGTGGTATGTTGATACATGATACCTGCAGCAAGTTATATGCTTTGTAGTTCAGATATGTAATGTATATTGTCCAGAGATTGTACTGTTATCTTTTGTATATCTGATATGTTTTCATGCATATTGTCAAGACATGTTCAAAGGAGGCTGAACAATGAAGCTCTTTGTTTCAAAATTTTGGATGAATCGTTATATGGCCTATGAAGGTTGGAGTTGGCTTTGTTAAAAAAGTTAGTCGTTTGATGATGCTTAGCTATGTTGAGTGATGAAATAATTAGTTAGTTGATATTAAAATCTCATTGACTTTTGCATTCTTTAATTTGGTTCAATTGCAGACACTTTGTCAAATTAGCTGGTAACTTCTTGGGTTAGTTTAACTTTGTACCTCTTTGTAACAAAATTTAATTATATGGGCAAGTTCAATCATGTCAAATTTGATTGTTGATTTTGCAGGATTGGAATTTCAAAGCATTTATGATGTCTTCATCATACCTCCCACAACCACTGATTCAATTGCTCAGGCCCTAGTAGCCAAAACGCCATCTGAAGCCATCTCAATCCTTTATCGTGTACTAGACAATCCTTCGTCTGCACCTGATGCTCTGCGGATTAAAGAGCAGGCCATAACAAATCTCTCTGATCTTCTTAGACAAGAGAACCAGGCAGAGGATCTCAGAAGTCTTCTGACCCAATTGAGGCCCTTTTTTGCATTAATTCCCAAGGCAAAAACTGCTAAAATTGTCCGTGGTATAATTGATGATGTTTCTAAAATACCAGGAACTTCAGATCTCCAGATTTCTCTTTGCAAAGAAGTGGTGCAGTGGACTCGTGTTGAGAAGCGAACTTTCCTGCGCCAACGAGTTGAAGCAAAGCTTGCAGCTCTTTTGATGGAGAATAAGGAATATTCCGAAGCATTGAATCTCCTTTCTGGCCTAATCAAGGAGGTCAGGAGGTTGGATGACAAGCTTCTTCTCGTGGACATAGACTTGTTGGAGAGTAAGCTTCATTTCTCTCTCCGAAACCTGCCTAAAGCCAAGGCATCTCTAACTGCCGCAAGAACAGCAGCAAACGCAATTTATGTACCGCCAGCTCAACAGGGTAATATAGATCTGCAGAGTGGAATCCTCCATGCAGAGGAGAAAGATTACAAAACTGCTTATAGCTATTTCTTCGAAGCATTTGAAGCTTTCAATGCTCTCGAAAATCCTCGTGCAGTATTTAGCCTCAAGTATATGTTGTTGTGCAAAATAATGGTGAGCCAGGCTGATGATGTTGCTGGTATAATATCCTCCAAGGCAGGTCTACAATACCTGGGGCCTGAACTTGATGCCATGAAAGCTGTTGCTGATGCCCATGCAAAACGTTCCCTGAAGCTCTTTGAGATTGCTCTTTGTGATTTCAAGGCCCAACTAGGGGAAGATCCTATCATTCACAGGCACCTTTCTTCCCTGTATGACACACTATTGGAGCAGAATCTCTGCAGATTGATTGAGCCTTTCTTGAGGGTTGAGATTGCCCATATTGCTGAACTTATTGAATTGCCTGTGGATCATGTGGAGAAGAAACTTTCTCAAATGATTCTGGATAAGAAATTTGCAGGGACTCTGGATCAGGGTGCTGGATGTCTCGTCATATTTGATGATCCCAAGGCCGATGCCATCTACCCCGCAACATTGGAAACCATCACCAACATTGGCAAGGTTGTCGATAGCCTCTATGTGAGGTCTGCTAAGATAATGGCATAGGGTGCCATATGTAGCTACTACACGCTTCTAGCCAGAAACAAACTAGTGCTCGGTCTGCATTCTAATTATTACATGTTTCAAGTTAATGGTGTTTTACTGCGGAAATTTGATTTGCACATTTGAACATTTGCCACCAGATTGTTATGTTACTCGGACTCGGATTTAGATATTAGAAACGATAGTGTTTGGCACGAGTATATTCCATTTTATTTTGAAGCTTCTTGTGTATTTGGAGGGTCTAAATGCCAGCTTGCTTGTGCACTCATTGTTTGACAAAATTTGCTAGAATGTACAAAGCACTTTTATTTTTAGTATTACTATAAAACCAAAAAACTTGATTTCCTGAAATGTAATATTCATCTCAATTCATAAAAATTTTGGTAAGTCAATAAATTATTGAAATTTTGAATAAACAAGTAAATATTTACTAATTAAATTTGTGTATTATAAGCATGCTTTTTACATTTTATTTATTTTTTTGGGTTTTAGTTTGACCATAATTTAATCAGATGGGGAGATTGTTTTCCTTTTGGTGAAAGTATCATTAACTATATCTGATTAACGTGCATACACGAAAAGAAAATATACCAATAGATTTCACATGTTTAGGATTTAATTCTTTACATGTATAAGTCCGGCTTATGATTTTCTTAATAAATAAAAAGGGATAAAGTACACAAATGGTCCCCCTACTATAGGTGTTATTTTGTTGAATCCCCCAATTATTAAAAGTTCCAAAATAATCCTTGGACTATATGACGTTACTCTGTTGAGTCCCTTGACTGTTAAAAGTTACAAAATGGTCACCTGACCATTCACATGTTCCAAACTCGTCCTTCTTTTGGTAAAAAAATTGACAGTCATATGAATTGAACATTTATCTACTGACTGAGATATGATAGTCGTTTGAGATTTTGATATCAGATTTTAGTATATCTTAGTCAGTAGGTTAATGTCCAACTCAAACCATCGTCAATTTTTTACCGGAAAATGATGACTTTGGAACATATGAATAATCATTTTGTAACTTTTAATAGTGGGAGTCAACAAAGCAACATCCTATAACAGGATAACCATTTTATAACTTTTAATAATCAAAGACTTAACAAAGCAATGTCTTATAGTTTAGGGACCATTTGTCTACTTTACCCAATAAAAAAATTCTAACTCCACGTACAAATTCAAGATGTTATCATGATTATGTGTTTTTTTGTAATATATTAAAAAAGTAAAAAATAAAAATCATATAACGTCGTCTTAAACCTGTTTATAGCGTCTTTAAAACGAAGTTATTTGTTTTCGGACCATTATTTATGTCAAAATCTTTTCCATATCAAATAAAAT